CTACGAACAACCGCATATTACCCACAGTCAAACGGAATTATCGAACGTTTTCATCGACAACTTAAAACAACACTCATGTGCCACCAAAAGACAAATTGGTCAGAGAACTTACCAATTGTACTTATGGGGCTAAGGGCAGCCTACAAGGATGATATTGGCGCGACACCAGCCGAAATGATGTATGGCCAAAACATACGCCTTCCAGGAGAATTCTTAAACCCCAGTCTACAGAAAAATGTTGATCAACCGGAATTCATCACCAGATTGAGGGAACAGTTCAACAGCCTTAGGCCGGTGCCTACATCAAACCATGCTAAAGCAAACATATTTGTGCACCCAAATCTAGCAAACTGCAGCCATACATTCGTCCGTAACGATACAGTGCGAAGATCTCTACAACCACCATACGAAGGACCTTACCCGATCGTTTCCAGAGCAAAAAAATATTTTATCGTCAACATAAAAGGACAACATAAAAATATATCTGTCGATCGTCTGAAACTTGCCTACTCCTTAGTCAAAAACACAGACACAAAAGATTATACTACACGGTCGGGGAGGAAAGTCAGATTTATACTACCCGATTTAGCCCAAAATCGCAGTCAATGAATTATTTTATTTTATATTATTTTTTTCTCTTTTCTTCATTTCAACGTGACTAAGTCACTGCGGGGGGAGTGATGTGGCGATAATGTATCGTATGTAACGATAGTTTGAATTTCGTATTGCCGAATAGCGAATGGCCGAACGATAGGAACCTTTCCCCCTCCTCCGACTCGGTGACGAGTCGAGACGCAATACGACAAGTCAGTCGATCGCCTCAGTTTGTGTACACAATACACATGGCTTAATACAATAGTCAGAGAACTATCTTTCCTTATGTAAAGTGTATATTCAATTATTATATAGTAAAGTTCATAAGTACAAATTACGTGTTAATTAATTATTTATGGAACACTTCCTTTAATGGATAATTACGTATTAACAAGAATGAAACTGATGGTGATGTGTATTTCTAAAAGGAATGCTTAAACATCACCACAACTGTATTCAGATGATTTTTCCTTTTCCAAAATTTTGTCCGAAGCTTAATTTTTGAACTATTAAACAGTTGTATCACGG